AACACGAGGGATCTTACGAACCGAGACCGTTAACCAATGGGATTCGAATAACACATTCAAACTACAGCTATTTTACAGGATAGTTGAGGTACTACTCAGTATGAAGGCCTTGCGAATAGCGCAGCAGTCAGTGCAAACTCCTGTCTTCAACAAATGTATCAACTCAACAAAACGACACAGGAAATGTGACCTTATTGGCGTTTTGGCGTGCTTAGGCAACATCAATATGACGAAAGCCATGATTCAAACTCTTAACTGTGGTGACCCATTGTATTCTCCCCAGTGCCTTTAGCAAGGTTTTTGTTTCAAAAGATGGCCATTTTCGAGTGCATTTGACCTCTGAACTTTCAACTCTAGAAACATCAGTACACAGGCACGTGCGTGGTGACTGATGAGTCCTTGGCTTCGTCAATCCAAACTTTGGCCCATATTGGACCCTAGTGGTCGATATGCTCGTTTGTCTCGCTAACCTTGACTTGTCGCGACCTTGGACTTGTGTGACCTGGAGTTGACCCCCAAAAATTGACCTTGTTTTGACCACTTCTCCAGATTCTTGCAAATGCAACGTTCGACGGCGTTACAAACACACACGCACACACAAGCACGTCTTGAGGTTGACGCGGAAGCTCTTTCATGACTGGAAAAATACTTCGAGTTTAAAATCTTTCCCACTGCAGAATCCATTCGCCAGTCACAAGAGTTTAAGAAAACAACCCCCACAATTGTGCCGCATACTCCAAATATTTGATTTTGATGTTTTCTGGTGCCCTTCCACTCTATCTTGCCAAAATTTTGAATCTATGAATGTCGATTCAGTAGAAGGTGCCCTGATTCCCTGAACGTCCATCCTGAAATTCTTAGAACTTTCGACACCTCAGCTGAGACAACATTGCTTGTCCTAGTGTAACCTGATTCAATGACCCTTCCGTCTTACTGATTTTTTGGATCCACAGTCGATGGACTTCCAGGAGAGCGTTTAACGTAGAATTCCCAAAGGCAGCAATTAATGCTTTAGGGAAAAGGCCGTCTGGATGTACTTCTATGGTTTTCCCGTGGCAACCACAACAACAGAGATCTGCGTCTTGGTCTTTTAAGCGTGAAAAGTACACCTAGTGACCCAAATATATTAGAAATTAAGGTCGATGCAGATCACGAGGCTAGTTTACACATATTAAAGTACACCTTGACGGGTGTAAATGGCAAGATTTGCTTGCGGTTGTTCAGGTCCATCTCAGGCGACATCCGATGACTCCAGCCAATCTAGCTAAACAACTAACAGATAATTCCGACTGAGATTAGCAATTCGGGATCCGTCATTGCTTCTTCATTAAAATCGAATTTAGAACTCAATCTGTAAATATCCGTAGGGGCTCGATGTGGTTGTGTAGGTGGCATTTTAGCGATTTACCATTTATTGAATCTGTGAATGCACACCAATGCACATATTTCATACTGACCGCGCATTCCATCATTGGCTTATTCATAACTTCGATGTGCTCTGAATGTCATTGGTTGTCAGGGTCACTCAATGTATACATAAATAGACGCTTTGGCTATATAAATCGGCTCCACAGCTACTATAGAAACACCAAACTATGGACAAACGCGACACTTTAACCTTTTAAATAATTCGATTGAGACAAACAAAAATTAGTTGCAGTCCCTTTGTGATTGGATGGAAATTTTCATCCTACTGTCGACGTTTTTGAGAGTACCCTTTAAACACTGAAAGCTCACCACTTGAAAGAATGGTAGGCTTGAGGAAGCCAAAATTCCTTGCAGCAGTTTCTTCACAATTTTGAACAAACAGTACAACAAACATTGAGGTGTTTATGAATAGCCTCTTGTAAGTGTTTTGTCATTTTGATTGGTCTTCTGTCCCAAGGTCACTTTCGTCTGTAGACTTGCACTCAAGGGCGGCATAGCAGTGTCTAGGGTAGTGTTGAGTAAAAAATTCCAGTTGCTATGGCAACCGTAGTCTAAAGAAAACTCCCATTTGTAAATAAAGTTGCCGTTTGATGAAAGGAAAGTCTATACACCATTTGCAATCGTCTGCATGAATACACGACTGGGTGGTAACTGATTACCCGATTTTCCAGTTCTGCATCAGCAGTATAAACTTCATGCTGTATGAGTCACACAAACGTGCGCTGATTCATCCCATTGAGTTCGTGGCTTGTTGTGGATTGTTGCCTAATGAGAATCAGTGACAAGCACTGGACCACTACAGACATGTGTTTGTCGAGTTTAATCAAGCGGTGCCAAACGAGACTGTCAGTCTGCTGGCGACGTCTCGGTAGTCGGTATCATGCCTGATCGGAACCAGCGGTGAAGTGAGTTTAATGTGTGTCTTAACCAATTCCTGCCTATTTAACCAGCCAATTTAAAGCAGGATTGCACTTTAATGATGCACACAAATTGTTATCTGTCGCGTGCCTTAAGGTCAAACCACTTGTAACCATTCGAATGAGTTCTGCGGCGTTGACCTCATTCTGCTGGTTACCACCATCTTCGTGCAAATTGTGACTTACCTCACACGAGTCGGATTTCCGAATCCATGACCTTGTAAATGAATACACCAATTGGATTGAGCTATATTCAGGGTTCATGTCAGCTGTCCCATTCCAAAAGACCCGGTAACTCTCCGACATTTTGAAAAATGGTTTCACCTCAAAAGTCCCTCGAAAAACCCACAGGACACATCTCACTTTTATGCCAGAAAGTGCAGCTCTTTTTGGTTGCAAAATGAATCGGTTTCAGGGTTTTCAGAGAAGAGCGTTCGGACAATCTAGAGACTGGTAACACAAGTGTTGGTGAATCGACTTGATTAACACGATTCCATTCTACCCAAGTCACGATGGTTTCTTTGATTTCAATAGGTGTTTGGAGTTGAGTCTTGAACCATGAATGCAATGAGAACATCATTGTCTCAGTCTATTTTCCTGCTGATGCGTGGTTTTTTAAACGTCTTATATGACTGATGCCGAATAAAACCATCGTTTTACACTTGCCTGTTTTACTTGTCTTTTGCGCCAGCTAGGCGGCCATGTTGAATTGCCAACCAATCATCGAACGGTACTGGGTGCCTAAATCGTCCTATGGGATGAGTCACGAATCCAGGCTTGTTCTTGAGTAGTCTCAGCACCTGCTAAATGAAATCAGTGCCATGCGCCACGCGAATAAAAATCGAGATATTAGTTTCTTTGGTGCCACAGTTCAAATCAAACAATTTACACTACTTAGTCAAATAGCGGCTAAATAGTGAGAGCAAGATTCCTAGAAAACAGATTAATTGCCAATTCTGCTTGAGATGAGATAGTTAAAAGACGCACTAGACGTTATGTGTATTCACAACTCCATGTAGACATAAATGTTGTTAAATTAGTAGTGGTTTCATGTGGGCACTCATGAAGTTGCTACCGACCTTTGATGTCAGTGTTAAAATTTCCGAAATATTGTTCCACACCTTGAAGCTACGATAATTTGCAAATTTCTTACATAACTTGATCTATCCTTGTTCGTAAGAGGCTGCCAACTGCGTGGAAAATCGCTTCGTCACTAGGCTATTGCCAAGACGGGATTGCCCACGCCGCGTACAATGACTGGCCACTTGCCTCCTCCCTATTGGCTGCAATCCGACAGCCGTAGAAATTTAAAATTAGCATTATCTCGACGATGACTCATTGGGATGGATGTCAGTGTGCATGCGCGCGTGTGTGCGAGTGCGCACGTGCGTGCAGCAAGTGCCAATCAGCCGAGATTTCTTGCATTCATGACCTGCATTTTTCCCTATTTTATTAAACGGCTTTTATTTCCTGTAGTGATTAAGCCGCATGCAAATCACTGCTGATGTCTAGCGTAAATTATCGTTAAGTCTTTGAGACGTTTTGGTTTTTAAGAGCAGCAGCTGACCGGTACATTTAGGGGTGACATTGAGACGGTCATTTAGCGCTGACTTGCAGATAATCTTATGAAACTTCATTCCTAGGTTAACATGAAAACACTTTCCCGTCGTTGCGGGTAGAACAACCAGTTTTCAAATTTACCGCTGCATTTTGACTTACTCACGCATTCAACAAGCCTTTTGGGTGTATCCACGCGCTTCTGCATTGACTGGTCGACCTTGAGAAATTCAAGGTCGTAAATCATGACTAAAAAACGGGCAGGCGGCGGAGATTTGATGAAGTACATTAATTCACGTGGAATTCAGTCTGAGACGGCGATATAAACAATGTTAAAAATGTCGGCAGTTTACCTGGAATTTCAGGATGTATGTTTACGAAATTATGCGATTTCCCGTGATGTGTTATAATGTAGGCGCATGGAAAATTGAAAAAGTATCATCAGAAACCAAAAAAGAATACAAACGAACTAAAATGACGAGTCAAATTAGTTGAACTTTGATAATGAAACAAAGTAGGGTATTTGCAACAATTATGCGCACGAATAAGAAATCACTCCTTTTGACTGTGCTCATACAATCATTAAATTACAAACGTCGGGGTAACTCCGCATCCAGCACAAATTCAGCTGAACGCAAAACATTGACTCGGTGTGAAATCGATAGTTTATTGGTTTATAGCCCACTGCTTCGTGATTGGTTCAACTTTGGAGGCCAATTCAGTTTTCTCTTGTCTCATCACAAATGGCTGTGTGCGTTGAGGTGACTAAGCAGGTTGCTTGGATTTTGTGTCCCTATTGAAGTCGAAACAGCCCTCTTCGCCAGTGCATTTTAACAAATCCCCAGCTTTTGGTTTTACAACTAAAAGAGGAACCACTTCCCAGGTTTGCGGAAGTTTAGGACTGAGTTATCAGTGAGTCAAGTTAACCCGCAACTAAAGCGGAAATTTGGTATTGTAAGCCCTACAAATAAATTTGACAGCACAACCACCCTGAAAACCCGTTAGACTCAAAGTCAGTTTTAACAGTTTTTGCAAGAAATATTGTTGTATTACTTGTGGTGTAGAGGTCACACAGTGGGTAGATTCTCATTGCTCCAATCATCGTGGATGTTCCATGACTGAAGCTGGAACAGATTGTTCCTGAAATTCAATAATGTGAGGTGTTTCCGTGCGCTCCATTCTAGTTTTCGTCTTGTGACTCTTGAACACGGCAAAAATGCCATGAGAGCGCAGCCTAGTCATAAATCTGGATAACACAGTCCTCAGTGATGCTTTCTCGTGGGCCTTCCTTTGTGTGGATTCAGTTAGACCGGCCGATGACTGACAATTACCAGCCAGAGATTCTGAACTCACATTCGCCTTTGAGTAGTTTCCACTCTTCTCACGATCTTCAAAATAACCCAACCGTTTTAAGAGTTTGAATGTCAGCAGCTTCACTCTTGACCTCCCATGAGCTGTTTTGCGTGGCCTACCCGTGACAGAAGCAAACGAGGCAGGTAATTCTGCCGGGCCCACTTCGTGTTCGACAACTGACTCATTTTGCGACTCGTTGGCTGTCTCTGTGGTTTTCATAGATTCGGACATGACTCCACATGGTTGGTTTGCCTCGTCGACAGCGGAAGGATCCAGATGTTCCGACTGGACCGCCTTGACGTCATTAGTTTGTTCATGGATAGATGACTCAGCAGTTTTTTCACTGGTATTCTCAAGATCAACTTCCTCTGAAACCACTTGCCCACTTGTCTCATCGCTGTCACCAGCTGCAAGATCCTTTTCGCTGACGCCGTCTTCTATTTCCTTCTGATCATCCCCCATCCTGCCTTCCTCTTCATCTGGCAGAACTGGACAAACCATCTCCTTATCATTTTCATTGGTCAAATTCTCTTCACACTGGATCATCTTTTCGTCGTTAGTTTGTTTATCTGTGGGTGACGCAAAGGTTTCTTCGTTAGTATTCTCTTGACTAGTTTCCCCGGAAACTATCTGTTTACATGTTTCATCGCCATCACCTGCTGCTAGATCAGCATTTGCAAGTTCCTCTACGTTGGCATCGTGTTCGTTTTCTTTTTGATCAACTTCCATCCCGACTTCCTCCCCACCGCACACAGCTACTTCATCTGGTAGAACTGGACAGCATATCTTCCAATCAATTTCCTCAGTCAAATTTTCTTCACCGTGGATCACGTCAAAGATGTCCTTCTCGCTGTTTGCCTCCTCCTCGTCTGGGGATGCTTGATTTTGGTTCTCGAAGTCACAGACGGTCTTGTCTCCTTCTTTTTCTTCCACTGCTTGATCATTCCAGAAGTCTGTGGGACATTTGCGTCCACTTTCCTCTCGTGAAATTGGCGAAATGGCGTACTTCACGTTGCTAACTATCGCTGCATCTACCGTGTCCATTGCTCTGCCTTTCGCGTGGAAGTCGAAGACAAAACTGAACTTTACCCGGTTTACCTGCCATCAGATTGACACCGTTTGGTTCGTGAGTGTGTGCGAGTGTGTATCTTTAGCGGCAGGAATCTGCTGGTAAAATCTCACTCCAACGAATCACATCAAAATTTGCTAAGTGGCACTGAAAGTGCATTTCAAAAGTACGAAAAGAGGTCATCGAGCTTACCTTTTCGACTTGGGTGAGTCGCTCTCTCAGGCTCTTGTAAGAAATCGCAAGCCACATTTCGAGGTCGTGGCAATTTCGCCTCATTTCGGAGATGGTTCCATCTAGGGAGTGCGTGTGAATTTGGCATTATGGCAACAACATTCGCACAGACTACGATAAAATTAGGTCACCCTGCATGAAATGTTAAGTTGGAAAGTTCCTTTCAAGAGCAAAACCGAAAATGAGGCCTCTTGGGCTCTTAAATTCACGCAGAACTCAGTCGGTAGCATTTCTTGCCTACTTTTCCGCTAAGCTTGATCCCACGTAACCACGATCCGAACAGACTACATAGGCATCATTAAATTGGTTGATTAGGTAAGCAGGAATCGGTTAAGGCACACATCAAATCCCCTTTACCACTGGTTCCGATCAAAGATGATACCGACTGCCGAGACATCGCCAACAGACTGGCGATGTTGTTTGGCACGATTGGATCAAATTTGATAAACAGACATGCCCATATTACTCATGGCCTTTTCAGTACCATCTCGGTTCAGTTTTGATCCACGGCCGAATCACATGTTTTCACTAGCCGACTAAAATGCGTTTGAGAAGAAAAGTCGTCTCATCGACCAACAGACACCTCAACAAACCAGTCTGCCAACGCGCCACCACCCCTAATTCACTGGTAAAGTCCGCCTGAAAGTGATAGAAGCCGTGTAAATTTGAGAAAAATTGATGACGTCGTTTGGGTGATGGAGGAGGTGCGTTTGTGGTGTGCACTGACTACCTCTACCGTTTGCCGACGTCGTATGAAGGAAGCCTTTAGGCACGCAGTTCTCTGAACCGTTTTCAACAAAGGATCAACTTTTGAACTAATACGATCACCCTATTGGTTCCCATTCAGCCAATCAATACATTGCTAATGCGAGTTTTTCTCAATATCTCTTACCTCAAAGCACTAAAATGTTAGTGTTTTAATTTAAACAAAAGAGCTGCAAGAATCCAATGGTTGGACTTACTTGGGAGATCAGGCTGGTGATTTATTGGTGAATTTCGGACCATGTAACGAACTATTAAGCTGTCCTTTTCGAAAACCCAATCTCAAAGAAGTTAGGAATTAATTTTACGTTTTCTACTTTGGTTGTTGATGCTGTTATTGTTGTCCCCTTTTCTTAAGCAGAAGCTGAAAAACCCCAACCCTGTTGATCGGCAATGTGCACACCTACTAACTATGTTTATCAGTAGTCGAAACTTCATTGTTCTGTCTTGATCAACAGACACTAGGGCTCAGTTAAGGGGAACTCAACCATGCAAGAGGTTGTGTTTTTCAGTGCTCTCTTGTGGTTTTCATCGATGGTTGGTGGAAGCAAAATTGGCAAAAGCAAAACTCAGAGGTTCTACCAACCTTGAAATGCAAAATTAAACACGACGATTCCCCCAGTCCAGATGCTTAAGTTATAAATAAGACTATACCAACTTCGTCATCATCATCACCACCAGACAATTTACCGGAGCAGTCAGACGTTGTTTGTTAATAAAAAAAAGCGTCAGTTTATAAAATTTCAGCCAATAAACAAATGTCGCAATCTTAAACGACAGGGAGCTAAGAAATGTCAGTCAGTAGATGAGAAAACTGCATCAAAATTTTTTTTTAAAAAAGAACTTGAATAAGATTTCACTGTGTCCAATTTCTGTCGTATTGTTCCTTAGTCATTCGCTTTCTCGTCCCCCTGATTGACATACGCAGCTTTTCGCATTAAATTTCCTCTCATTGGTGAAAGGATCGTCAGTAAAATTATCGATTTGCATCCTAGTAAACTCGTTAACGTAGAATCCCTCAAATCCGCCATCTCGTAAATTTCCTTCTCGAAAATTAGTTGTAGCACGGGTTTAACACTGCCAATGCCTGCCAACAGCACGAAATGACACCATCGAATCTGTTCTAAACGCATTCTTCTGATGCAAACAAACAGCCTTGTGAGACTGCGGGGAGTTTTTAACCGCTTCATTCGACGCAGTACAGCGGTGTCGACTATGCTTGACAGTGAGGCCTACCCGTTGATCTGACTCCGCATCGGACATATGCGACAGTCTTGTGTTGTGCACTCTGGCGATCAGAGCTGGTGACGCAGTCAACAAGTGTTATAAAGCCTTGGCATCGACAGTCGATATTAAAAACCACTCTGCAACATAAGTGACTTGTTGTGGCCCGAGGAATGGATGGCACTATGATCTCCCTACCCTGAAGTCGATCGACGGCATAATTGGTTAAAACTGAGGTGCGATTCGAAGGGGTTCCTTTGGTGGCAGATTCCGCATGAAAGGCAAATTTGATGGGAAACAGCTGGTTGTGGGGACGACGTTGGGGTGATCTTGAGTGGATGGACAAATTCAACGACCCACTCAAATACGTCAGCAAGGTCAAGCCTCCTTCGCCTTCAGAATCCAGAGACACACAAAATGAGAGGATTCGCGGTGGGTCAGAATTTTTCACATGAAACTAATTTCGTTGAAACTCAAATTCTATCATGGTGGACAGTCGAACCTCGACAGCTCGACGCTACGAATACCTGCTCGCAGTCGCGCTTGTCGCAGATGCGTTTTGGCCACCTACAGATAACTGATGACAATGATGCACAAAATATCTGGCCCTGAAGTCAAAAAGCCACTCTTTGAACACTGAACTCTACTCCGGAAGAATGGCACTTTCAGGTTCATTGTTATCGGTCGTAGTGAGGGAGATAGTCAGTACTTTTTTGAGCATCCGGGCTCATCCAAGGCGGCGAGAATGTTTCAGAGTGAGGACAGCTCAGAAATTCACCGACGCTGACATCCACGGATTCCTCTTCCTCGTTGCGACCACATGCCACTGC